ATATATACCCATACATACACACACACATACATAAATATCTATACATACATACATGCACATACCATTCAATCAGTGTCCAACCAGAAAACCCAGGATTTAAACACCTTTTTATGTGTGGTTGCGAGCATGCATGTATATACAAGAAAGACAAAAGTAATTTTCTTGACATTTAACTGTCCCTATTGTTCTGATTGTAGACAAAACAAGTGACAAGCCAAAGTCTGGGATGCTGAAAAGTCCACCCAAAGGCTTTGACACCACCATCATCAGTAAAACCTATTACAATGTGGTGAGTATTACAGTCTTAGGAAACTTGCAGAGGTGGGCGCAGTTCTGCTAATCTGCTAATCTGCTAACAGCTACTAGTGAAGCTAACTATTTGTTTAGCAGATTAGCATTGTCACWGACTTTGGAAACTGTTAGCTTCTGCTAAACATATTTCTGCTAACTTTAAGCCAGCTAACAACAACTATCCTTTCACACATGCAGTGCTACATGCCTGCATCATGTGCCTTGTGTGTGCATGTAGCCTCCTTAGCATTTTGTGTGTCCACCTGTGTTAGTCTTCAACAGAAAGTAGATAAAGGTGTCTTACCCTGATTGAGTGACAGTCGCTTTCATCCACTCAGATTCTTAAAACATGGTTAGAAAGGGTGATTTTAAACAGAAAAAATGTCTCAGTTGAGGCTGAGATTTATATTTACGTCACTTGGTGCAATTTGTTTTCTTGCCGATTCAACTGCTTATTGTTCTAACTGTTTGGTGGACGTAGAAATGTTTTTTGAGCYTTTAGCCAAGATTTGGACATTTCTGTGGATGCCACACTTCTGTTTAAATGACAAAGCTTGAGTTAGCGGTTGCCAGTTAGCATTAGCTTCTGTTAATTTACTTACCTGTTTAGTGRTTTTTAACATTTGTAAAGCTCTTTTCGTAAGCGAACTGTTGGTTAGCGAAGCTAACTTTGTGGTTCGCTATGCCCACCACTGGAAACGTGAGTTTGAGATTAACCAGAAATTAGATTGGTAGTGTGTTTTGAACTTATGGATCAACGTTGCCAGATATTGATTAATTATTGTATTATGCAATAGTTAGTTTCTTCTGTGAACCAATCCCCCCCCAAATAAATAAATAAATAAATAAATAAATAAATAAATAAATAAATAAATAAATAAATAAATAAATAAATAAATAAATAAATAAATAAATAAACAAAACAAAAACGCACAAATTTTGATTCACTTGAACACATACGTGTCAGAAAGTCTGACCTGATCTTACCCCCACCCCCCTCACTCAGTACAAAAGCTAGTTTGGGTCAAAATGCAACCATTTTAAAGCAAAAGTATAAGATTTCATTATTACTTCTCTGGCAACCTTGTGTGGGTCGTTGTAGTGACTTATTTTCCTTTCACATTTAATCTCCTATCATGTTAGTGTGTCTGTTAGTTATTGTTGAGCCTGGATGGCATCCCTACACGTGGCAGACTGCAGTAAATGTAATGTAGGTTATTTCTTCCAGTCCAGTGGTTTCTGGGGCAGCCTTGCCACAGGGTCTGCTCCTTTTTGGTGGGTGTGTTTTAATAATGTAACAAGAAGTCCCTGCAGATAATTTTATATATGGTACCTGAATCACTTTTATCCCCGCCTGAAGTCAAAGCTGCAGACAAGAATGTACAAAAATATAAATACGAAAGTTTTTTTAAGAATCCATCCATCCGTCCGTCCGTCCGTCCGTCCGTCCATCCTCCACTTGTTTTAGTGTTGGATTGTGGGGGCAGCTTGAGCCTGAGCTCTTCCAGCTCTTCTAGGAGGACTCTGAGGTTTTTTCCTTGGCTAGCTGAGTGTCTTCAGTGTGTCTTGGGTCTTCCTCAGAGTCTCCTCAGTTGGACGTGTCCAGTAAATCTTACACTTACCTCACAATAGTGTCTCACTTAGGTGAAACTCCAGTTGACCTCTTTAAGGAAATTTACTTGAATTTGATGTCTTGTTATTTTACAGTTTCTGGTTGGGGCTTTTATAAGAGCAAGTATAGAAACTTGTTTTTTGTATAAGATTCAGGCTTTTGGTTTTTCTATTTGTTTGGTGCACTGCACGCATACAAACACCAGTTTATTCTTTTAAATTGGCTTTTCAGTTCCAGCTTAGGCAAGTTTTAGAAGTAAAAACAAAAGTGTAAATTTCATTTATGAGAATAACTGGAGTTTCTCTGACATATATTGCTTGGACACTATCACTTGTTTTACTCATATTACAGTGTTCTGTTTTTTTGTTGCTTTTGTTTTTTTCTTATCGGAAACCTCATTCCTGTGAGGCTTCCAAAGTGCGGCGAGAGCAGCCAATTAGTTGGTGGAGTCAGACTTGAGTTTTTGCAAGCGAGAGCTACTTGAGCCAGTTTTACAGCTCCCAGGGGATCCTTTAAATCTCTTCATTAACTTTTAAAATACTTATTTCAACCTGCCAGGATTGTTTTTGGTCCTTTTTTTTTGTCTCAGGAGAAAATCTGATTTTTTTTTAAATGTTTCATAGCTTTGTTACTTCCAATTAAAAGTCTCTCCTTATAAAAACAAACAACAAAGTGTTACTCTCATTGCTTTTTATAGTTTCTTACTTTGTCTTTGTCTCTTTCAGGTCCTACAGAACATCCTGGAAGCAGAGAGTGAATATTCAAGGGAGCTTCAGAGTCTCCTGGGTTTATACCTTCGCTCACTTCACCCAACAGACAGGTGGAGACTTTTACAGTTTTACTATTTTGCTCTACAGAACTGTTTTATATGAGGCAGTACAGCACAAACATACAAGCATGTATGCTGTATTGATTAGATACAACCACAGCTGACAGAGGTGAAACTTGTGAATTTTTTTTAAAAAGTTGACATTTACCAGGCGACTCCTCAGTGCAGAATGAAATTCTGGTGGCAGCTGAGTGTAATTTTCTGAGAACAGGCGGTGGTCTGAATAACGCCTGGACTTATTCGAGGACCAATCAGAACATTCTAACAGCATTGGAGCACCTCTCCAGCAGCAACGGAAAGATTGTGATWTAGAGTTGGTAAATCTGGTTCGCTTAATAGATCCTGGTTAATCTGAATCCCTCACTAATGTGATTTGGCTTACTTGAGTCAGTCACTAAATTAACCCAGATGCACGCTGCGTCTGGGTTAGACCTCACACTGGTGACACGKTGGTCACACGGCGATGCTTTTTAGTGAAATATTTGTGTTGTGATTCAGCTGCTCATTCACACCTCACCAATAATTTGAGACTCTTGACACCAGCACTACACAACAACATCCTAGGTCCGAAGCAAAGTTTGTTTATTCACTCGTTCGGACGTAACAGTGGTCATTCTGTCATTGCATGATCAATTCATGCACCTTAACCATGGCATTAGGGTTGGCAGATAAACACAAAAATACAYTTTTTGCCCCTCCTTTTCTGTGCATATTTTCATAAAACACAACCCACACCTCACGTTCCAACACCCTCATTCAATGCATATGAAAATTTGGGTCAAAATACAACAATTTTAAAGCAACAATACAACATTTTACCGTGTCCCAGTTGGCAGCCCTGCCTGGCATGGAGACTACAGCGAGCGACTCCATGTAAACTGGAGGTTATTTTGTTTATTTGATCCAATAAACATTGAAAAAACATTAACATTTCCAGAGACCGGTCTTGCATAAACTGGGCCTTATTCAATGGGTTTAACCTGGGTGATTCAGGAACCATCCAGTTCTATTCCAACAAGGCTTCAAGTATATGGAGCCAGTTTGATTCATTTTTCAMTCTGGAGGCAGTTGAGGTGCCTTGAGGCCATGATTTGAAGTGGCTTACCATTAGGGCTGCACGATCTTAGAAAATCTTGCGCTGGTGATAATATTTGTCAAAATTGCGATGATGATATCAGGTAAGATACGTCTATTGTTTTTCCTTTTCTCCTTTCCTAATCTTGACTTCCCATTCTATGTGACCTTTAGCATTTTTGGTRATGGCATTTGTGTCTGGTGTGAGCTTCTGCAGCTGTGAAACTCTGTCCAGAATGTTTAGAATGCTGAATGTAAAGTAAAAATATCCTAAATAAAATATAAATACTTTAAATACATTTAATTACAGTAAGCTTTGAACCCTGTTYGATGTTTCTCCACTTGCAATGCACCTGGAACATTTAGAACATGAGGAAAACATTCAAGCTGTTCAGATTTCAGTTAGAATGTATACAGGTGCTGGTCATAAAATTAGAATATCATGAAAAAGTAGATTTATTTCAGTAATTCCATTTAAAAAGTGAAACTTGTATATTATATTCATACATTACATACAAACTCATATATTTCAAATGTTTATTTCRTTTAATTTTGATGATTACAAATGACAACAAATGAAAATCTCAAATTCWGCAWATCAGAAAATTAGAATATTACTGAAGACCAATAAAAACAAAGGATTTATAGAAATGTTGGCCAACTGAAAAGTATGAACATGAAAAGTATGAGCATGTACAGCACTCAGTATTTAGTTGGGGCTCCTTTGGCCTGTATTACTGCAGCAATGCGGCGTGGCATGGAGTCGATCAGTCTGTGGCACTGCTCAGGTGTTATGATAGCCCAGGTTGCTCTAATAGTGGCTTTTAGCTCTTCTGAATTGTTGGGTCTGGTGTATTGCATCTTCTTCTTCACAATACCCCATAGATTTTCTATGGGGTTAAGGTCAGGAGAGTTTGCTGGCCAATTAAGAACAGGGATACCATGGTCCTTCAACCAGGTACTGGTAGCTTTGGCACTGTGTGCAGGTGCCAAGTCCTGTTGGAAAATGAAATCTGCATCTCCAAAAAGTTGGTCAGCAGCAGGAAGCATGAAGTGCTCTAAAACTTCCTGGTATGTGGCTGCGTTGACCCTGGACCTCAGAAAACACAATGGACCAACACCAGCAGATGACATGGCACCCCAAACCATCACTGACTGTGGAAACTTTACACTGGACTTCAAGCAACGTGGATGAAGTGCCTCTCTTCTTTTCCTCCAGACTCTGGGACCTTGATTTCCAAAGGAAATGCAAAATTTACTTTCATCAGAGAACATGACTTTGGACCACTCAACAGCAGTCCAGTCCTGTTTCTCTGTAGCCCAGGCAAGACGCTTCTGACGCTGTCTGTGGTTCAAGAGTGGCTTGACACAAGGAATGCGACAGCAGAAACCCATGTCTTTCATACGTCTGTGTGTGGTGGTTCTTGAAGCACTCACTCCAGCTGCAGTCCACTCTTTGTGAATCTCCCCCACATTTTTGAATGGGTTTTGTTTCACAATCCTCTCCAGGGTGCGGTTATCTCTCTTGCTTGTACATTTTTTTCGACCACATCTTTTCCTTCCCTTCGCCTCTCTATTAAAGTGCTTGGACACAGAGCTCTGTGAACAGCCAGCCTCTTTAGCGATGACCTTTTGTGTCTTGCCCTCCTTGTGCAAGGTGTCGATGGTCGTCTTTTGGACAACTGTCAAGTCAGCAGTCTTCCCCATGATTKTGTAGCCTATAGAACTAGACTGAAAGACCATTTAAAGGCCTTTGCAGGTGGTTTGAGTTAATTAGCTGATTAGAGTGTGGTACCAGGTGCCATCCATTTTGAACCTTATCACAAGATTCTAATTTTCTGATATGCTGAATTTGAGATTTTCATTTGTTGTCATTTGTAATCATCAAAATTAAACGAAATAAACATTTGAAATATATGAGTTTGTATGTAATGTATGAATATAATATACAAGTTTCACTTTTTAAATGGAATTACTGAAATAAATCTACTTTTTCATGATATTCTAATTTTATGACCAGCACCTGTAGACAGCGCAGTTCAATCAATATACAAAGAATTATCATTCAAACGGCTGACCGGCTCATTTYCCGTCTTGTTTGACGAGTGTTTTAAGTTTGATCACAGAACGTTGATGATTCTTTTCAGTCCTATCTTTTGTTTTTCTCTCCTCTGTTCTGTAGACTCACCAGTGCTGACATCAGCCATGTTCAGGGAAATCTGGAAGAGATCTCAACTTTTCAACAGACGCTGCTTCAGTCCTTAGAGGAACAGACAAAGTTAGTCTTTTGTTGATTTATTATTTATGTTTTTTTTTCTAATGTAGSTCGGTTATTCTTGTTATGGTGTAACTAAACTTTACTGGAATTTAAGATTTGGACTTATTTGTAATAATTGTTTCCACATGCATAGATTTTTATTTTTAGGCATCCAAAGAGGAAACGGTTCATTTGGAGAACATTTATTCAGACAATAGACATGTTTCCATTGTTTAGAAAAAATCATATCCTTTATTTTCTGCAGGATGTTGTTAAAGCAGCAGAGACGTCTAGTGGTCACTGGGTGTTATGTTTTCACAGCAATGAAGTGCAAAAGTGCTGAAAATGAAATACAAATTACTTATTGTAAAAACTCTCTAAAGAGTGAATGTAATATCAGYGATGGATAGATTTCTCCTCTGTGTTGCTCCCATCTTACATGTTTTGACTAAATATTCACAAAAACTGCTCTCTTTATGCATCATCAGAATATAATCACTGTTTTATCCAGTTTAATAATGTGATGCTGTTTGTGTAGGCTCCCAGAGAACCAGCAGAAAATCGGGGGATTCTTTCTAAGCCAGATGTCCCACATGAACAACATATACATGGCCTATTGCTCCAATCATCCATCTGCAGTCAGTGTTCTCACACAACATAGGTAAAAACAACTTTTTATACACATATATATAAAAACCATGAAATAAGACTTTTCTTTTACTGCACTAGTTGTTAACTTGTGAATGTGTGTCACAGTGACGAGTTGGGAGACTACATGGAGTCTAAAGGAGCATCCAGTCCTGGCATCTTGACCCTGACCACCAGTCTGAGTAAACCCTTTACCAGACTGGAGAGATATCCAGCACTACTGAAAGAACTGGAGAGACACATGGACGTAAGAACAGTTCTGTGTTGAAGGCTTTAGTCAAGTTATATTACAGGACTGATCATCTACTTCTTTTAGCTGTTSGCTCTTCAGAGGTCACCCCATCGAGTCATCCTCCTCCATCTCTGTCCTCACTCCAACTACCTCCATGTCCTCTCTAAATACATCTCCTTTTTGCCTTTTTTCCTGGYAACTGCRTCTCYAACATCCTTCTGTCARTATACCCACTGCCCCTCCTCTGGACATRTCCTATTTTTTATACTTTAGTGGTTCAACCTGTGCTGTACCTCTGATGATCTCATTTCTCATCTTCTCCGTCCTACTCACTCCCAAGGAGAACCGCAACRTCTTCCAGTTCTGTCTTCTGTCTTTTATCAATGTCTCTAAACCTTACAACTTCAGTTGGTCTCACTGCTCTCTTGTAAACCTTTCGTTTGACCTTTGCTGACACTCTTTTGTCCAAATCACTCCTGAAATGTTTCTCATCCTGCCTGGACTCTCTTCTTCACCTCTTTACTACACTCCCTGTTTTCCTGGACAGTGGACCTGAAGTACTTGAAGTCCTGCACCTTTGTGACCTCTGCTCCTCGTAGCCTCAGTGTTCCACCTGCCTCCCTCTCATTCCCTCACCAGGGGCCTCATGTATCAATGGTGCGTACGCACAAAAACCTTGCATACGCCATTTTCCATGCAAAACTCCGGATATACCAAAACTGAAATGAATGTGGAAATGTGCTCAGCCCCACGCCAACTCCAGGTCTGGCGTATGCACGTTTCTGTGGCTTTGGTTCCACTGGCGACACTTAGAGG